AGTAGTATTATAAAAGTAAAAATGAAAAGAAAAATAGCATCATAATCTTACTTTACTAATAAATAAATTGTTTTCATTTTTTTATTTACTTCTAACCTTGTCCTGTTACCTAATATTTTTTGCATAGTTTTAACCTAACCTAGTTAGAATTCTAAAGTCCCTGGGGAATGCAAATGGTTAATGCACTTTGCTACTAATGAAGGGTTGGAGGTTCAAGTCTATCCAGTACACCTCAGAAGAAAGGACTGGCCGTCTACTTCTGAGAAACCAGCCACTGAAAACGGTACTGAATTCTACTCTGACCCACATGGTGTTGGCGTGAGTCAGGGTCACCATAGCCACAAGTAGTTTAGCTGTAATTCTGTATTTCCAAATTTTCACTTGGCATCACCTTGTCCCATACTTTAACATTGTCTTTTTGAGTTTTTGTTTTTCCTTTACTTTTGGCAATTCAAGTATTTTATTGGTTTGAGATTTTGCTGATTTGAGATTTTGCTGACTGAAGGAAGGAATGAGATAAAAAGATGAATGTGACAGGGTTTGTTGTACAGTGGTGGTGTGTTACTGTCATGCTGGAAGCTAGCTGCCAATATTTTAAATACCAGCAAGGTAATCATGTGGATGGGTTTCAGCAGAGTTTCCAGACTAACATAAGCTAGGAAGGAGAGGCAGACCGCATATGAATAGTTAGACACTGAAAACCTTATGCATAGCATCAGAACATTTCAAATATACTGACGGAAGTTGAACCTCTCAGATTGGAAGGCACTCAAAATACAACTGGGGAAGAGCTGCCTCCTCAAAGTAAAGTTGACCTTAACCTTAATAACGTAAATGGAGTTAAGGTTTCAGGATCTTCATTTGCTGATGTGGCACAACTCAAACTGAGGAGAAACAGATGTAACTATCCATTAATAATTAGAGCTTTGAATGTATGAAGAATGAATCTAGGAAATTTTTAAGTTGTCAAAATGAAATAGAACATATTTTGATCGATATCCTAGGCATTGGTGAGCTGAAGTGGACTGGTATTGCCATTTTGAATAACACAGTCATATGATTTCACATGCTGGGAACAACAGATTGAAGAGGAGTGGCATCACTTTCTTTGTCAAAAAGAAACATTTCAAGATCTACCTTGAAGTACAATGCTGCCTATGATAAAATTATATCCATACCCCTACAAGGAAGACAGGAGCTCTGGTAGTGTAATTGGTACAAGTCAGGCTACCAACCTCAAAGTCAGCAGTTCAAAACTACCAGCAGTTCCACTGGAAAAGAAGAGGCTTTCTACTCCCTTAAAGATTTACAGCTTCAGAAACCCTATGCAGAGTTGATATGAGTCGGAACTGACTCCACGGCACACCAACACCACCACCACCACCACCACCACAAGGAAGACTAGTTAATATCACTATTACTCAAATTCATGTACCAAGCAGTAAAGCCAGTGATGATGAATTTGAATTCTGTCAACTTCTTCAGTCTGAAATTGATCAAACATGCAATCAAAATGCAGTGATAATTGCTGGCAATTAGAATGTGAAATTTGGAAACAAAATGTGAGGACCCATAGTTGGGAAATGTTATAGCCTTGATGATAGAAACTATGCTGAGATTTGTATGATAGAATTTTGAAAGACTAGTCATTGCAAATACCTGAATCTCAAAGTCATCAAATTTAGTACATCTGTGGGAAGAGATGATGTAGAAGCTCAACTATCCTCAGCCAAAATAAGGCCCGGGGAAGACTGTAGAACAGACCATGAACTCTTCACATAAAGTTCAGACTAAAGCTGAAGAAAATTAAACCAAGTCCATGAGAGCCAAAATATGACCTTGAGTATATCCTACTTGAATTTCAAGAACATTTCAAGAACAAAATTGATGAATTAGACACTAATTTCTAGAGACCAAAAGAGTTATAGGATAACATAAAGAGCATAATATATGAAGAAAGCAAAAGATCATTAAAAAGACAGGAAAGAAAAAACAAAGTGGATGTTGAAAGACTCTGAAACTTGCTCTTGAACGTAGGAAGCTAAAGCAGTTAGAGAAAATGACATAAAAGCTGAATGGAAAATTTTAGACAACAGAACCAATTCCACGGCACTTAACAACAATAACAAATAAATATTATTCTCTCATAAATCCAATGGTTGACTGTTCATTTATTGGTCAACTTTTCATTTATCTTATAATTAATTATTTTACTTTTTTCCCTATCTGCTTAGTTTTCTATAAATAGTCACTTTTTTTTTTTTTTCCCTGAGAGGCTCCAACAAATCTGTGAAACTCAAACAGGTCATAAAAACGCACAGGCACATACATAGTTTTTTGACCCCCTCCCCACGACCTCACTCTCCCAGCCTTCTGTTCTGCTTCAGTCTGACTGAGTTTTCTTTTGACATGGTACTCAAATGCCGTCCTCAATTTTCTTTAGCCATTCTGCATCATGTAATTCCTCGATTTATGTTTTCTGTTTCTAGTTTTTTTTGAAAATGTTCAATATATACAAAAGTAGACAGAACAGTATAATTAATCCTTCATGTATGTATCTCCCAGCTTCAACAATGACCAACTCATGGCCAGTTTTGTTTTTGCATTACCCCCTTCTACTCTGTGTTAGTTTGAAGGAACTCCTAAACATTGTGTTTTAGCTATAAATTATCTCTGTATATATCTCTAACATGTAAGATTTCTTTTTAAAAATATATAATGAATTGTAATACCATCTTAAAAAGAGTACATTTAACAATAATCCCTTAATACCATCAAAACTAGTCAAAAAATCTAGTCACTATTCAAATTCCCAGTTGTTTTATTATATTATCATTTTTACAGTTTTGTTTTTTGAAAATCCACCTCATCCCCCCAGTTTATTTCAATTAGTACCCAAATAAGGCCACCACTTTGCAAAGGACTGATTTGTCTCTGAAGTCTATCTGAAAATTTAGGTTTTGCCTCTATTTACTTGTTTTGTTTTTTAAATTTGTTAAAATTGTTAATGTAATCTAAATTTTGCTATTTATATTCACATGGTGGATGTTCTAGCTTAGATGTTGTATCTTCTGTATTTCTGTATCAGCGTTTATGTCTAGAGACTTGAACAGATGTAAACATTTTGTCAATTCTACTTTATAGGCAATGGTGTATTTTTTCCATTGTTGTGTTACACGAGTTCATTTCAACTCATAACAACCCTATAGGGCAGAGTAGATCTGCCCCTTAGAGTTTTCTAGGCTGAAATCTGTACTGGAACAGATAGTCCGAGCTTTCCTCTAGCAGAACCACTGGCGTGTTCTAACTGCTGACCTTCCAATTAGCAGTCAAGCACTTAAACGTTACACCACTAAGTCTCTTTTATTTTCCATTGTTGTTGTTGACTGCAGTAGAGTTAGTTCCAACTCATAGCAACCCTGTATAAGGTTTCCAAGGAGCAACTGTTGCCTTTGAACCGCCGACCGAGAGGTTAACAGTCCAATGCTAATAGCCTTTTTATAAAGTTAATAGCTTTCGACACTGAATATGTAGATCTATTAAATAATAAGAACTAAAACCAAACCAATTGCCATCAAGTCTGTGCTAACTCAGTGAACCTACAGGAAAGAATAGATCTGCCCCATAGCATTTCCAAGGCTGCAGTCTTGACTGAGGCCTGGTGTGGTCCTGTGTGTTAATGCTGGACTGCAAAGTTGGTTTGAACCACAAGGTCGGTGGTTCAAGCTCACCAGCCGCTCCTCAGAAACCCTATACAGGGTCACGATGGGTCTTAACCAACTCAACAGTACTTAATAATAACAACAACAATCTTCCTGGAAGCCCACTGCCACCTTTCTCCCAGCAACCCTTTGGTTAGCCAAGCACTTAACCACTGTACTACCAGGGTTCCTTATTAAATAATTATGCATTACAAAGTGATGATATTCTAACTTTTCTTCTCAATGTATTAGTTAGCATACCACTCTAAAGAAAAACTTCCCCTCATCTACTATTTGAACATTCAGTGACTAAGTTAGTTTAGAAAAGTTTTGATAAGTGCTTGCTTTATTTCTCTTTTATTTACCAATTTTCAGATTAATAAGTTGGATCAGTCTCCAAGACTGATCAGAAGAACTAGGTGGTGCCCAGCTACCACTACCAACTGACTGATATAAAAGGAATCACATTAGAAGGGTCCAGATAGATACACTGGGAGAAAATGTGGAACAAAACTCAAAAAAAAATTTTTTTAAAGGCCAGGCTTAAAGGAGGGGAGTGATTAGCATTTCAGTCCAGAAGCTGAGGCCCCTGGGACCATCAATGGAGAAGATCGGAGAGCGGGATCCTACCCAGAGAAGCAATGACGCCAGAGACGGAGATGATGACATGGAGCAGCTGGACACTTTAGATCCAGAGAGGGAGAGGGGCTGTGTGCTGATGACCAGGGTGCAGGCTTGTAGTATATACCCTTTGGTTGGTTGATGATACATGGAGGGGATTATATCCATGGCAATGAAACGATATACGATAGGATAAATGTAAAACTAATGTTCGCCCATGTAAACTATCACATAATTCACAATAAAACATTAAAAAAAAAAAAAAGGCCAGGCTTACTGGTCATAAAGAGACTAGAAGAACCAGAGACTGTGGCCCTAGGTCATTCTTCACGTCTGGAACTGGCATCAGTTAATTAACTTTGGGGTTTTTCCCCATTATTATTGGCTTTTTATCAGAATCTTTATAAATCTGATCTTTATTTGTCTTTGGGGCTTGGAAACATTATGTAACAACATACTGGAAAAAACATCTGAGAATAATAACATCAGCAAATGTCATGCTGCAACATTGTATCTAGTATATATTACTAAAAATGTAATGTACAAAAAAACAGTTGTAAATAAGGTTCCTCATAAGTGGAACGTGTTGTAAGTTGGGGACTACCAAAACATACCAGATACATAATTTTTCCTACTCCGTCATTCTACTTTGCTATATGTTTTTCTTCATATTTACAGATATTTTGGTAAAAGACCTCAGTGGGATTGTAGAGGGGCGTCAAATCTTAATGAACTTCACCAGCTGTTAAGTGACGTGATGATTAGAAGATTAAAGACTGAAGTGTTAACCCAACTCCCCCCTAAAATCAGACAGCGTATTCCATTTGATCTTCCACCAGCAGCTGCCAAGGTGAGAACCCTTGTGTGATTGAAAGTCATATTTAAATCATTTTAAATTATTCTATTAAAGATTGAACATATTTCATATTTCACAGAAGGGAATGTCTACTTTCTTAAAATAGGCTTAATTAATTGAGCATGTGAAATGACTTTCTATCATTCCAAGAGGGAACGAGAAGACTTTCATTTTAGTTATTAAATATGTTAAGGGATCCAGTGTCCTAATGAATAAAAAATATTTCTGCTGAATATCTGAAACTACTGAAATTGCAAAAAAGGATTTAGATTTAGTATTAAAATTTTGAAGTCTCTATACATTGCAAAAGCCAAAAGTTATCAAGAGAAATCTTGTTTCTTGCTCTAGAACTTTTAAGTGTGAATGGCAATCTTCTAGAATAATTTGGATGTAGTCCTCTTCTAGAAATCTGAAAATTCTCCAATCATGTTATAATATGTGAAATTCATCATATCAAAGAGCCAAAAGTGGTATAAGTATTTTTCCTACTTCTTCTCTGACATTTACTTTTTGGGAGTACAGTGATTATGTGTTCTCTGGTTCTGGACACAGCGTGTTGCACTATTACAGCTTACAGCTTAGAGTAAGCATTTGATAAACATTCAGCTTTTATGTTATTTCTAAATAACAGTGATCTGATTTCCTTATCTACTACTGCATCATTAGAAAGAAAAGAAAGTGAATCGTCAACATATGATTGCATTACATTTTATTCACTAATATTTGCCAACTCTTTGTGTATATTTAAAGATTTTGTCTTTTTATAAAAATACATTGCTATCATATATGTTTTTACTACTGTGATTTTTTAAAAAACTTTTTATTGTGAATCCAGTAAAGGTTTATAGAGCAGATCATCAGTTTTACATTCAACAAATCCTATACTTTGATTATATGGTTACGATCCCCTCTGTGCATCAACAGTTAACAGCATTTACCTCTATTCACTCCAAACACTGCATTCCTCCCTGTGTCTCCCAACACCCCCATACTCCCCTGCCTTCTTATATTAATTTTTATTTTTACTTTCAAAGTATTTTTCTTTGTGAGACAGCCTTAATGATTTCATGTATGTTAACAAAGAGTTTTCGTTTTCACTCACAGCTTGCCCTTGTCTCTTTAATTATCATGAACATGTGGCTGGATTACCTCTGCATTGATGATTTTAAATAGACATGTTGACAGCTTTGGGATTGTTCATTGCCCTTTATATCTTCCTATACAGAAAAGAAAGAAAAAGTCGGAAATCCTTCACTGTTGCATTAATTGTTCTATTTTTTGGTGCTGATTTCTAAACCTTTGTTATTTTTTCCCACATAGGAATTGAATTCCAGTTTTGAAGAGTGGGAGAAGTTAATGAGAACTCTAAATTCAGGAGGCATTGAGAACGGTAGCCCCTTTTTACAAGTCATGGGGTTGATTACTCGCATGTTTAAACAAACTGCTATTGCCAAGGTACTCACTGCTGGGTCATCTGTTATTTTTCTTGATACGAATTGTTTAATGCATTTAAATATTTTCTGTAATGCAATATACCTTTGCTATTTAATTTTTAAACTCTGCATTAAGGAAAAAGACATAGGAGGATAAGTTAAAAAATATATAATTATAAAGTTATTAAACAAAAGTCTAAAAATGTGAAGATAATGTTACTTCACATTAGCTTCCTGGTGTGGTGCTGTGGGCTAATGCACCGGACTGCAAAGTCATTTGAACTGCAAGGTCGGTGGTTCAAGCTCACCAGCTGCTCCTTGGAAACCCTACACAGGGTCGCTATGGGTCAGAATCAACTCAAATCAACTCAAAGCCACTTAACAACAACAACAACAGTGTTACTTGACTTATCCTCCATCTAGGTCTATACATGTCTGAAGGCAGTACTTTTATTTCTCTAACTCTTCCCCAGAGAATTCTATGGTGTTCAATTAACACCATATCATATGGGCAGCTTTGGCTAACAGAAGTCTAAAGGGGCAAAATCTGGGCTATAGGGTGGATGGGGTAAGGCTTCCTAACTAAATTCTTGCAAGACAGCTCTTGCTACCCTCAAAGAATGAGCAAGTTCATTGTTGTGATGGAGCACAGTTCCTTCACAGATTTTTCTGACCGTTTCTTCACCAGTGCAGTTTTCAATTTTCATAAAACTTCTTCCTCACCAGCCCCTGATATCATCCTGTGTCCTTTGGGAAATTTTATCAAGGTTACCCCTTTGAAATTCCAATCAAACAGTCACCATAAGCTTCTGGTCCTGGTGTTGCACTGTGGGTTAATGCACCAGACTGCAAAGCTATTTGAACTGCAAGGTCGGTGGTTCAAGCTCACCAGCTGTTCCTCAGAAACCCTACACAGGGTCGCTATGGGTCGGCACCAACTGGATGGCGCTTCACAACAACAACATAAGCTTCTAGGGTGATCTCTCAACCTTGAATTTGTCTTTGAGGTCTTCCTGACCGTCCTTAAAATGCTTTATCCATCTAAAAAAACTATTGTTTTATGTGAGGCAGTATACCTGTAAACTTGTTACAAAGCACCAATGATTTGAGAACATGTTCACTTGAGTTTTCTTAAATTTTTTATATTAGCTATGATCTGATTTTTGAAACATGGAAAAACTCATGGTGACCCTAGGCACAACAGAATAAAACATTGCCTAGTCTTGCACTATCCATACTTATACATAAAATTGTTATAGTGAATCATATAATATAAAGGGACTTCAAAAAGCTCATGGAAAAATTCCAGTATCTTTTAACTCCATTTTTCTATGAACTTTTATCTTTTAACATTTTATTGTGGATTGAGCAGATCATCAGTTTTAACAGTTTATTGTTTATAGAGTAGATCATCAGTTTTACATTCAACAAATCCCTTTGTTTTATTACAATTCCCTCCATGTACCATGTACCAATAGAAGTAATGGTATTTACTTCTATTCACTTTGACTCTTGCTACCTTCATCTCCCTGTGTTTCCTGCTACCTTCATCTTTCTTCTGCTAACTTCCCTGTTGTTGTATATTGTATTCCATGAATTGTTGAAGTTTCCCTCATGCATGTGTTTTTATAGGGGTATGTTTTCATTTCCCTTGGATAAATTTCTAGGCATGGGACTACTGAACCATGAAAAGTGCAAGCCTAGCTTTATATAAAAAATTGTCAAATTATTTTTCAAAGCTACTGTACACTTTGCCTTCCTGGTAGCAATGTATGAGAATTCCAGTTGTTTCACATTTTTCCCACCGATTGGTATTGTCAGTCATTTTTATTTTAACCATTCTATCTCATTGTGCTTTTAACTTGCATTTCCCTAATGACTAGTAATGTTGTGTTTCTTAGACATTTCTTTTGTGAAATATCATTTGCTTTGAGCCCGTTTTTATATTGTATTGTAAGAGCTCTTTATATATTTTGAAAACAAATCTTCACACATAAATGTCTTTTGTAAATATTTCCTTTTCCTATATTTTCTTCAAAAAGTGCTGAAGTTTTAGGTTATGTTTGTAGATCGATGCGCTGTTTTTGTGTGGCATAAGATCAGGCAACATTGTGTTCTGTTATACAAGAAGGCCAAGAGCCACTTTGATGGTAACTAACAACATAACATGAGTTATTTTGGGGTTGTCCTGAGTCATAACTGGCTTGATGGCAACCACTTTGGTTTTGTTTTGTGTGATTTTTTTCTGAGCTATTTTGAGGCAATTTTCTTGTATGGTACAAATTAAGGGTAGAGACTCAATTGTATTAGTTTTGGTTTAGTTTGAGTTTCTTGTGTGTGGAAATTGAATTGTTCCAACACCATTTGCTGAAAAACTATTTTTTCCTATTGAGTTAACATGGTACTTTCAGCAAAAATTAGTCATATATGTGGGACTGTTTCTGAGCTTCCAATTCTGTTTTAGTGATCTGTAAGTTTTACCTTTTACAGTATTGCACTGGCATAATTACTGTAGACTTACAAGTATTGAAATCACATGGTGTTCACCTACTTTTTTCTTTTTCATAATTGATTTGTTGTATGCCTTTTCTTTTCCATGTAAATTTTAGAATGAATTTATTGAGTATGTGAAATTTTGGTTGAAATTAAGTTGGTTTTACGTATCAATTTGGAGTATTGTCTTTTCATCTGTGAAAAGAGTATCTCCATTAATTTAGGATTTAATTTCTCTCAGCAATATTTTAGTTTTCTTGCATGCCTTTTGTTACATGTACTCCTGAATATTCTTTGTCATTTTATGTGCTTGTAAATTAGTATTACTGTATCAATTTATAATTTTTTATTTTTAGCATATGGAATTAGTACTGATGTTTTTATCTTTTTGGGAGGCATCGCTAAAGACCCTACATCAAAAAAAGTTTAAGATACTTTTATAAACAACTTTACATATAAAAAACTAACAAAACTTATATGAAATGGACAGTTTTCACAAAAATTACAATTGATGCCAGAAATATAAAAAGATAATTAGTACTATGTGTATTAAGAAATTTAATGCATAATTTATAATAATCCTTTAATGAAAACTCCAGGATTAGATGGTTTCACTGGTAAATTCCATCAAACGTTTAATGTAGATATACTATCAATTTTACAGAAACATTTTTCAGAAAACTGAGGAGTAAAAACATCTACTGACTAATATTATTAAGCTAGTATTCTCCTGATCCCAATCCTAGACAAAAACATGAAAAAAACTACAGTTAAATATCCCTCATGGATGTGAAAAACCTTAACTAAATATTATCAAACTTAAACCACCAATATAATTTTTAAGCATTTATACTAAGAATGCAATATTGATTAACATTTGATCAATCATTTTAGTGCACTACATTGACAAGGTAAAAAACAGAAAGCATTTTGACAGAATTCAATATCCATTCATAAAAAACAACAACAAAAACTTTCATCAGATTAGGACTAGAAAGGAAATACCTTATCCAATAAAAGACATTTATTTTAAAATGTATGACTAACATCATACTTAAGATGGAAGATTGGATGTTATTCCCCTAAAACTGGGAGTCAGACAAGTATGAAGGAGCTTTGTGAAAAAATTCGATAATCTTTTCATTACATTTTTCGGAAACTTTTTGAAGCCCTCTTGTATGTCTGCTATATTCAGCATTGTTTTGGAGGTATTATTGGATGCCGTTAAGTTTGTTCCAATTCATAACGATCATATGCAGAACAGAAAAAAACACTGTCCATTACTGTACCATCTTCACAATCATTGTTATATTTGAGTTCTTTGTTGCAGGCATTTTGTCAATCTATCTCATTAAGCGTTTTTCTCTGCTTTACCAAGCATGATATCCTTCTCCAGAAACTTGTCCATCATGATAGCATATCTCAGATACATTAGATTAAGTCTCACCATCATCTTCCAAAATAGATTTTTCCTTCTTCTGGCAATCCAAGGTGTATTCAATATTCTTTGTAAATATCATATCAATTCTTCTTCAGTCTTCCTATTCATTATCCAACTTTCACTTGAGTATGAAGTGACTGAAAATACTGTACCTTTGGTTAGGTGCACCTTAGTCCTCAAGGCAAAATCATTGCTGTTAACATCAGATTTGCCCAATTCAATACATCATTTGCTTTCTTGACTGCTGCTTCCATGGGCACTGATTGTAGATTGAAGTAAAATGAAATCCTTAAAAACTTCAATCTTTTCTCTGTTTATTATAATGTTGCTTATTGGTCCAGTTATGAGGATTTTTGTTTCCTTTATGTTGAAGTATAATCTGTACAAAGTGTTGTCATCTTTGATTTTCATCAGTAAGTACTTCAAGTCCTTTTCATTTTCAGTATGCAAATTTGTATCATCTACATATTGAAGAAGGTTGTTAACCAGTCTTCCTCCAATCCAGGTACCATTGTTCTTCCTCAAGACTCTGTAATATAGCTATCAGAATAGACATTTAATTTAATGAACCAGAAAATAGAATTCGGATATAGACCCTCACACAGATTGTCAATTGATTTTTGGAGAAGAGACAAGATAACTCAAAGGTGAAATGAGCATCCTTTCAACAAATAGTAAAAGGACAATTAGATATCCATAATGGGCCGGGGGAGGAGGGACTAACCTTAACTATTATTTTACACTCTTCAGGAAAATGAGCTTGAAGTGGATCTTAGACTTAAACATAAAAACTACAATTATAAAACTTCTGGTAGAGTACATGTAAGAAAATGTTCACAGTCTTTTGCTAGGGAAGGTTCCTAGATTGTGCAAGTGGTTTGCATAGCCTTATAGTTCTGTTCTAAGATTTACACCCTTGGAAACCCTGTACCGGGTCGCTATAGGTCGGACCCGACTCAATGGCACTAAACAACAACAACAACAACAATATAGTTCTGTTCTACTCTGCACACACTGGGTTGCTGTGAATCAGAACGACAATAGCTAACCTAAAGGTTGGAGTTTCTAACCCACCCAGTGACACCATG